TTTAAGTGCAAGGAACATGATATTTAATAAAGAAAGGTAAACACACAAAATGTTAAAAACGCCCCTTTGGACGTAATTTAAAATCTGAAACATTTCAGATTTTTTTTTTTTTTTTTTTTTTTTTTTTTTTTCAGTCACACGAATAAGTTTAAAATTTTGGCATTACTTTCACTTTAACCCTATCACAGTATTTCTTAACATTTAAAATAACAGTTCACATTGTATATAAGAACATATTAACATGCCGTAATTTTACGCATTTTAAAACATACATTAGTAGTACATTGTTAACTTCTATCCTTTTCAAGGCAAGTGCCAATTCTTTTACATTGAAATACTACATTTCAAAAGTCTTTCAGACTAAAACTTCTTCTTGCCAGAATGTTTTAAATAAAATTATAACAATAACTTTTACAATATTTTAAGTATTTACACATTCCTATTCTACATCAACTTTAGTTTTACGCGCGAGTAATTGAAAAACATAATACCAAAACCGGTAACAACTCTTTCTCGCCTTTTTGGCGATAAAGGTAGACCTCACATGAGGTAAAACTTCTTGAAATCTGCCACTTGCAGTAAGAATGAAAGATTAACTTAAGTTTGCCAAAGTAAAATAAAATTTAATTATCTTTTGTGATATTCGGACATTCTTTTCTCAGCCCAGTCCTGGAAGGTAGCGAAGATTCTAGTTTGATTTATCCTCCTTCTTGTGCGGGCTCGCCCTTCAGTGCCTTCCTCTAGAAGCTTTCTTTTTCCTCCAGTTCCGTCACCCTTGAATACCTTCTTTTTCGCCTCTGCCTGTGGTCTTGGCCGTTTGATGGCAGCTGGTCTTGGCGGAACCGGGACACTTCTCTCTCGTTTCTGCTTGGACGTCGTTGCTGGCCGTTCAAATTTCCTTGTATCTTTTCCTCCGCCGCTGGTGGCCCTTCCGCAGTTCGGCGACATTTGCTGCGGAGAGTCCTGTCCGTGAGTAGATCTTCCGTTTGGGAGCCGGGTTATAGTTGCCGTTATTTCTCGTGGCTCTCTTTGCATTCGTCGTACTTCTCCTTCTTCATTCTGGGGGTGGTCGTGAGCTCTCTTTTCTGGACGGTGGAACGGCTTCTTTTTCTTGTTACCTTCAATTTTCCAACGGGGAAACTTTCTTTTCAATTGCTCCTGCCTCCTAATGGCTTGCCCTTGTACTTGTCGTTGTTCCACCTCTGGAGCTGTGCTGCCGTGCCTGCCGTGGCCGGATCCTGCAAAAGATCTTTGAATATTTGCATTTTATTACAATCATAGTAGGGTTTTATTTGATCAATGTTTGCGGAGTATGTTTCAACCATTCCGGCTTTTAACACCACTACAGCGGAGTTATTTTTTTCTATAACATATGGTCCTTCAAATCGTGGAAAAAATTTGGCGGTTTTATCTTCTGGTGCTGAGGAAAGTGAATGCTTAATTTTAATACTTCATCTCCTACTTTATAAGTTACTCCCCGTCGTTTCAAATCGTCATAGAGTTTTTTGTTTTTCTGTGCTACTTCAGTATTCTTTTGCTTCGAAACTAATTTTTCTATATCACCATTTTAAATTCGGGGGCCCTTTGCTGAACATAAAATAATATCTAACGGCGTTATAATCTGCTGCCTAAAAAAATCAGCAGGAGTTTTGCCATTGTGGTCATGTTTTTGCGGTCCTAAGGGCGAAGCAATTCATTGACATAGTTACCCCAGCTTTTATGAAAATTTTTAACATAACTACGGATAATTTTCACTATATTTCTATTGACCCGTTCCGCTATATTTGATTGCGGCCGATACGGGAACATTTTAAATGACGTATGCCAGTTTTTGGCACATATCTTCAATATATTACTTACAAATTGGGACCATTATCCGATATAAGTTTAGGGGCGCCCCGTATTTTAAAATATATTTATTTAAAATAGAATCAGTAACTATTTCGCGGAGGCTCGTTTAAGGGAACAATTTCGGTCCACTTACTAAAATGCTCAACCATAACAGGAGATCGACTTTTATTTAACTGATTTTGGGAAATGCCCAATAAATCGATGCCAATTATTTCATTTTGGAAATTCGGATTTAATACTATTTAGAAACCCGGCCGGGCGGAAATTAATATAATTAATTCTTGACATGTTGGGAAGGACTGTACATACGCCCTTGTTAACTTTTGCAGTACAGGAAAATAGGCTGCCTCGCGTACGCGTTGGATAGTTCTTCGAATGCCAGCATGAGAAGCTAAAGGGCTGTCATGTAATTCCTGCAGGATATTTAATCTAAGATTAGCTGGGATAACAGGTCGAAATTCGTTGTTGGAATTTTTAGGTTTTGTATAAATAATAGACCATCTATTAGTTCGTAATGGGCCGCCCTATTCTTGACGCCACAATATCTTGGTGGCTAAAAATTTTCAGGATCCTTTAAATACTCATAAATTCTTAAAATCAGGATCTTACCCAGTTCGGTATTACGTTTCTCGGGAATTTATTGTACATGCTGTTAGCTTGCCACCTTTACAGTATTACCTTCTCTCTATTTTTTTTGGATAGGGCATCTGCTACGATATTTTCCTTTCCGGGGGTACGCTTGATTACCAGATTATATTCTGTAGCTTGAGTGCCCATCGTATTAACTTGGGGATAAGTTTTTCCTGAGTACAATCTAGTTACCCCGCATGATCAGAATACACTGTTATTGGCGCCTTTCAAATAGACTCGAACTTTTGCACTGCTAACAACGCAAGTGCCTCTCTCCTCGCGCGGAATAATTCTTTGGTTTGATTTAAAGTTCGAAAAAATGCCACGGGCTGCTGATTTTGCGAAAGTACCGCTCTACCGATAATCGAAGCATTCTCTGAAATTTTTAAATTCTCATCCTGTCAGGAAATTTCAAACAGGGGCTCGTTAATGCTTGCTTTAAATTTCGAAGAACTATTGGCTTCGGCGTCCACGAGAATCTTGCCTTTTCCTTTTTAATTTTAACAGGGTTCAGCAATAACTGCAAAAACCTTTATAAAGGCCTATAATATGAACAAAGTCCTAAGAGAAAGAGCTCTTCGCCGTAGTTGGTGGGGATACTTTTGCAAGCGATTATTTTTTTATTCGTCTGTTCGATTCCTTTCTGAGATATTTGTAACCTAAATTTTATTCAGGGGCTGCAAATTTTCACTTTTCGACATTAACTTTAGACCGGCCTATTTAATAAGAACACCTGTCTTAAATCCTGTACATGTTGGTCCAGATTATCACTAGTAATAATGATATCGTCTAAAAGATAAATTGACTTCCAAAACGCCTTACACAATGTCCATACATCGCTGAAATGTTGCGGTGCCCCTGAAAGGCCAAACGCATACGCAGGAATGCATATGCCAGACTTGGTTTATAAAAGCAGTCTAGGCACGTCCTCCGGTCTAACCTCTATTGAAAATAACCTCGTTAAGTTAAAGTCTCATATATTTTGTAGACGTATGTTCTTAGAATTTCTTCAATAATAGGTAACGTATACCGGATATTTTAGTGGAGTTTAATTTACGATAGTCAATAGCGAAACGCCACTTTTTGGATGTGTTAAATGGATAGTCATTATTTTTCTACAAAAAACCACCGCTAGCAAAACTTGAGATGGGCGTTATGATCTTTTTACGTAGCATATCGCTAATGTGCCATTCTATAATTTTTTCTTTATTCTTATCATACGGTATGCTTGGCGAACTGGCATTGAATCCCGGTGTCATATATGTTTAACTTGAGTAAATCCGAATATCACAAATAACGAAGCAAATTCATTACACTTGTCGGATTCTTTGTGCTTTCCTTAGGCAGGTGAAAGGTTTAATATTGCGGTTCCGATTTTTCTTCTCAATGGTTTTAATCGTCAGCTAAGGACCTTCATTAAAATCAGCGTTGCTTCTGCCTCTTGAAAGAAAATTATCCCTAAGATACTATGTGCTTGCATTCTTACTATAAAAAACATAACCTTACTTGTTCGTTGATACGGACGTATAGCGTAATTTATAGGCGCTTGCATCTTTCTCCTTGCGCAGCTAAAACTGTCGTATTATCCGAATTATATATGCGGTATTTCCGAAAATATTCCTAAAAAATTTCTGCCACACAGGACACTGCGCGCCTGTACCAGGAGTGCGGTGCTGGATTTATCACCAACACTTCAATCTTCGGAAGAGTCAAATTTTTCAACCATTACTGTATTTAACTTGAAGGAGAGGGGTTTTCTTGGCCTTGGATTTCCGCACCCTCCCGTCAGCAGAAATCCGTTTAGTTTAATCATTTTTCATTTCCATGCTTTCTTCTTTTTCCACGCTTGAGACTTTTTTCCGGATGTATTGAACTGTCGACGTTCGCCTGCTGTTTTTGGATGCCGGGTTTCCTTGCCACTGATTCGCTTTTCCGTAGCCGTGTGCTTGACTGTTGTGGTCTTGGCTCACCAAATTGGTTTCGTTGTTGATATGCGTTTCTTTCAATGTCTGCCGTTCTTCTACTTTCAAACTGGATTGCTAGCTCAAATAACTTTTCCAGTGTATCGGATTCCTTAATTCAATAAGTTTTGTATTGGGGAAGTAACCTCGCAAATCACTAATTATCTCAGGATCCGGACGGTTTCCATACAAGAGTTTGAAGACGTGAATTTCTTAAAATAAAGCTGAGAGATTTTCAATGGTTTCTGGTAATGTGAAAAGTTTCGCTTCTAATTCGCACGATCCTTACGACAGGGAAGGTTTTTACTAGGCAGTCTGAAATTTCGTGTATAGGTGGGACTTCCTGCTTGACCCAGAGACTTCGCCTATACTTTGAACCAATTAAGCGCTTGGCCTCAAAGCGCTGGTAGCTAAGGTGACTTTCTGGAACTCATGGTCTGGATATAGCATGAAGTGGGCATCCAATTTTTCCAAAAAACTGGTCACCGGTGAGTTTCCACCGAAAGTTGCTGCTGGTTTCATCGATGCGCGCATGGTCTGGGCGATGTATTCAAATACTTCCAGGGCGGCAGCTGGCATTTCTGGATTCTGAGCCGCTGCTACAGGCACCTCAGGTTCTTCTTGAAACTCGTCCATGGTTATTCTTATTCTTCGGGCGCCACTATCAGGGCTTGTATTTCTCTTGATTTGCGTTGGAAACGTGAATGGTCCTGAATAGGAACAGGGCGCTTACTCAAGCTATGTTCATAAATGGGGAAGTAACAAATACAAGGAAGGTTTACGAAACCTTATTTTTCACTTTACAATAATTTCCGTACTTCGGAATCAGAGACCAAACTTGTGGTCGAACGAAGAATAAAAATTTAACTTACTCTAACTAACTTTGGAATAATAAACAAGGCCTACGGAAGATTGGCTATATTAACAGGAAGCCGTATTAGTACAGAGACTGTTAACACTACAATACGTTTAAATTATCAAGAGAATTAAACCTCTGGCCTGGAAGGCAACCAGCACCGCGAAACGCTAAGGCAGCGGCTCTTCGACTAACTCCTTCCTCTCTCTCCGTGGCAAAAGCCCACTTAAGTTACTTGGCGTTCGCCAACGATTTGCTAAATAAGTTTAGCTTTTAATTCTGGCCGGAAGTAGAAAATAAGAAGTGATAGTAAAGATTTAAAATAAACGTTAGTAAAACTTAAGATCCTTACAACGGTTGCAGGAAAGAACTTATATTGAATGAAATAAGATACAAGATTAGATTCAGGGTTATATTTTCCTACACATATTTGGCCTCAGTTCTTTTTTATAGAAATTCAAATGCTTTGCTTATACGCAAAAGGGAATGAGTTTGCTATATGAGCAAACTGGTTTCACAATTATCGTTTTGCCATTCGTCCTAATGCGGTACTTTAGTACATGACATGGTTAAGTCCATATATGTGATTTAATTTTACTAAATATCAAAAATCGATAATGCGCAGCATGGTGTGGGCCAATGGTATCTGAAACGTGGTGTGTCTGCAATAAAGTTTATAATTTGGTAAAACATAGAGTCGTAAACACGATTACTTAACGTTGTATTTACATCCGTGAAACCAGTGTTCCGAAGACTTTTTAATCTCTGGTATTGTTTTTCAAGAAAACGCATGTATTTTTTATCACCATAACTATTTTAAAGTTAGGCTTGTTAGATTCAGGTGCTCACATTCATACTGAAGTTTTAAAATATTTAGAAAATAAAGCGTAGAATTTCATATAACACTAACTAAGAATGATCACTCACGTTAACGTTCGCCGAGGCTACCTGAAGTTACCAAAAACTGCTCAAATCAGCCAGAATGAACCCCAATATGCTAACTCTGGCTATACAAGATTCAGAAATTTTGAATAAAATTTTGAATAAAAATTATTATAATCTTTGAAATTTCAATGTAATACATTTTAAATACAAAACGAATGTATACTGTTTTTTCCTCTTAATTTAAAATGTGGCTATTCCATTTTTAGGTACACTTTGCTTAAAACTATTCAAGGTTAAAAGCAAAGTTTCTATGCTTGTATTTCAATTATTAAAAACATTTATATTTTTTATAATAACTAAACTTATAGATATGCATGCCAAAATACTGAAATAAAGTTTATTGATAAAATTCTTATGATTTATTCTTAGAAGTTTTCCTAAAAGGTATTCTATTTTTTAGTTCAAGAATTTTTTCATTAGTAAACAACTTTAAACATCACAAAATTTTGTTAAAATATTCTGATAGTTTTTCAAAATATTCCAAACGAACACTATATTTAACGAAATGAAAGAAAAATTAAAATTTATAGAAATTAATTTATGAGATAATTATATTAACATTACACACACACCACATATAGTATATAAATCTATGTTTAACGTACTAAATATCTTAGTCGTAACTTTATTTTGAAATTAAATATGTGTTTGGAAATGCAGTAGTAAACTTGTTTCGTTTAGTCCATCGAGATGCTTCGTATACTTTTAAATGAACGTTTTTATCATAATTTCGGTCAAGATTCAAATTTTCAAAATCAAATCCTCCATATTTTTTTTAATTCAAGATCAAAGACAAGAATCCTCCTTGATAAACATAGTGTTAAAAAATACTTAGTTGATTTTATTTAAACATATGACTATTTAAACTGCTTAATTATTTTCTTAAACACGCTTCAGTATATGAGATTTATACATATCACATCATATTTATGAAGGTCTTTTCTTTCTTGTGAACTACTTTCAAAACTGCAGGTACATCTAATACAGTAGGATATCTCACGAATATAAGACATACAGCAATATCACGTATATTAGGCCAGTGTAGTGCATATTAAGGTACATTTAAACAAACCTTCTATAAAATTGCTTTATTTTAAATTTTATGCTTTCTAATAGAATGCTCGAAATTTCTCAAAATATAACTGATAAAAGTTTAAAAGAAAAAACTTCACCTATAGAAGATGGTTCACATTTACTACTTTTTATTCCAAATATTTGCTAGCAACCTGGTAAAATATGACTTGTGTATGTAAATAAGTTCTGATTGGTTTCCCATGCCTTGGTGTATAGTTATTGAAACAATTTCGTGAATGATCATAAGTGGAGAAAGAAACCATACGTCATTTTCTAATGTCAGGTGTGGGCATTACCAGTTAAATGATTTGGGGCAGTTCCATAACAGTCTTATTCAAGAACGTCCCGAGGGACGAAATTTGATGACCTTGGACCCATTTCTCCATACCACCATCCTTTCAAAACGACAATCAGCTCGATGCATTTTGAGCTCGATGCATGCTTGAAAATATATAGTATATTTGCCCCAAACTGAAAATATACTATATATTTTCAAGCATCCATGCTTCTCCGAAATTCGAACCCGAGCTCGATGTTACGACAGCCAGGTTAACGGAGCGACGCGTAAGAGAACAGTTTCCTAAAAAATGCTGATAAAGAAATAATATATTTGTGATTAGATACATGCTTAAAAGTCAAATTATAATTAATTAGCGAAACGGCAGAACAGGCAGAAAATGTATTAAGTCCTCAAAAGGGTTTTCACTCCATAAGCATAAAATTTTTCTACATTTTAACGGGTTTGACGACTTTTCCTTCATAACAGTAACACGACAGTTTCACCAAATTAATTAATGCATTAAAATTTGCATATAACATGAAAGTAAAGGAACTAATATTTATTTTTTCTTAATCTAAACTTCTCTCACTTTTCCCACTGCAAAAGAAGTTTTCCTAAATTCCCGAGATCATTCAAAAGCAAGGAAGATTCTTCTTCTCCAAAAGTCTACGGACAACGTCCTTCGCTGGAATTTAAACTATTTTACCCGGAACACCACTTACAAAATCAAGCCGAATCTATAAAGCGGTATACAAAAGAAATAAACTAAACAACTAAAAGGAAAATAAGGCGGACTGGGTCCAAAAGTTTTCCCGCTCAATCTTCAAAGGCCTTTTCATGCCCCCCCTTTCTTTTTGACGGTGGAGCGGGTTGAGGAGGGTGGAAGTTGCCGACTAAAAGAGTTTTTATTAGGGTAATGAGGGGTGGTCCGAGCACGATTTGGCCATTAACGAGATGGGAACGTGAATCTCGGCTGCATTTCTCACCCGCTGCTGCAAGGATGAGGGGTTGTCTATCTTTACATTCCTCTTTGCCCCTTCTAGAGAGGTGCGTGAAGCTTTCATAACTGTAATTAACAGAGTTTTATGAACTTCTTTATAATAATTCCGAATTTTTAGTTATCGGCAAAAGTATTCAATAAAAAAAATTCCCAAAAAAGAAAAATATTTTTAATGCTGCTTTCAAAAAGGATTTAAAATGGCATTTGTTTGTTGGGCAACAAATGACAAAATATTAATATTTTATTGTCAAGATATTACTTCATAAAAAATTTAGTGCTCACTGTAAGGTATTTCATTTGACAAAGACTACACAGTTAAAAATTTAATAGTTTTATTTCTGAAGGGCAAAATGCTCATTTTCTGATAAAATTAAACAATGAAATTATTTTAATTTGTCTATTAATGGAAAAATTAAATTTTTATCGATATAAATTTTAAAACAAAACAAATAATCTTGTTATTTTTAACGTAATAAAAGACTTTTCAATTGGTCAAACAGAACGTGTAATATATATAACCTGAGTTAAAATAAAATTAAGGTATTATGATAGGTGTGAGTCAATAAAAAAAAACAGAATAAACATTGAATTATAATTTATTGAATTTTTATCTTTCCAGGCAAGATATCGTAATAACAAATCATGGAAAAGAATGCACTCATTCAACGATTTTCATTTAAACGAATTTCATCTAAATTCTTCTATTTCCAATTTTTCATATAAATTAATTAGCTTTAAAAAATTTGTTTTTATTTTGTTTCAATCAAAGAACCACCTGGAAAGAAAAACAAATTGTCCAGATAACTGGAGGTCCAAACATTTGAAGTCTGGTTAATTGGATCTTCTATATTTTCAAATCGTAGAAGAAATTGTAGAAACTAATTCTATAAAATCATTACTTAATTATGAAAATATAAAATTTACTACTTCAACTTCATTTTGTACTGTTAATGCAGAATTCCCACTTTCGGCTATGAGAGAAGGAGTTTAGCAACAAAGCAATCATTTTTCAAACATCTCCTTTGAAGAAAGAAATCTCAAAGCACCATCTTAAATCAAACATGCTAAAAATAATCTTAATTTTTGAAAACGTATCCATAGGAAAAAGTTTACTTTTACAAATATATAAAAGCCAAAACAACAACTAAGAATTTTGGAAGTATGGGGAAAAAAATTATAAAACATCTATATCCGTTTCAAGTAAATAGACATAGCTAGAATATGTACGTTGCACTAGTATGATAGATATATATATAACATTCTCTATTCGGATAAAGCAAATTTAAAGTTAATTAAAACTTAAATTTTAAATTATAAAATTTTAATTGCAAACAAATAAAATTTTAAATTATAAAATTTTAATTGCATACAAATAAATGATTGATATACATATAATTACTAAACCTTTTTAAATACATAATAGAATCATGCCTAGTGTTATCGCGCATTGTCAATGGAACTTTTAACACCTTTCGATAGTC